GATAAAAAAAATTTGTATGCTATTCTCAACTAATTTAATATTAATTTATAAATTTTAAAAATAATTTCTTAGCTTTTAAAATATATGGCCATGTAAAATTAGTACCACCCTCAAATTGAGGGTGATTCAAACTTTTTATGATTTATAATTTATTTATAAATGTTTGGAGTTTGACATGGAGTCTGGAAGCTAGCTATTTTATAAACCAAAAATGCAAAATGCGCTTCTGTTTAATCCATCTCTTAATAACGTATCTTTCTTATCTAAGTGCAATTAACCATAACATTTCCCATACATAAAAAGCAGCAATGACTTTTTAATATCATTTTAATATTATTCTTTATTATAAAAGGTTTAAATTTTTGAAAAAGACATTCCATGGAGTATGAAATAATCGATTTTTCCAAAGATCTATCAAAACCATATGATTCTGTCGACTGAAAGTTTAATGAGTGTTTTATAGCAAATAAACTCTCCTTGAATATTGATAAAACTAAATATATTTTGTTTACGGATTGGCTTCAATCCAAGAACTTTCCACTATAAATCCTCCATTTCCAAATTAACCTTAAAATTGATCAGCCTAAAAAATATAACTGCATAGATACAGTGGTGTCACTAGGAGGGTATGGTCCACACCGGGTGACACCAATGGCAGCAACGCTACTTCATAGATGTGTTATAAGTCTAGTTTTTAAATAGTTTTAGCTCCTTAATTCCAACATAGTTTATAATCCCAACATTAAATTTTCACCTAAGTTAAACATAAACTATATTAAAATGAATAAATAGAAAAAAAAAAGTTTTCTTTTTGATAACATTTTTTTTTTAAATATTACCTTATGCCAATTTATGGCAAGATTGATATATCCAAAAATACTGTAAAAAAAAATTTACTAAATTTAAATAACTTTTTATTGTTTATTAATGTGACATCATAATGAATGAATGTATACACCCTTATACATTACAGTATACACCTATTCATTTTTTTCAAAAACATTTGTAATATTTTTGTTCGTTTTTTCGTTTTTATACATTTGTTTTTTTAATTAGTTACTTTAGTGTAGTAATAAAACTGTAATTTTTTTTTTAATTTTTAAAAAAATAAAAGAATAATTACAAACGATCTGAGTTTGACAGAGGGCTAATAACGACAAGGGTTTGATGATTAGACATTTTGTCCCAAACTTGCTCCATTCAAATAGTAAAAATACAAACTATAAATTGAAAACATTGTAAAATGTTTACGTTTTGAAAGTAATTAATGTTTAAGCATATCAATATATCATAAGCCACTAAATTGATTAAAGCCACTTAATAAGTTAATTGATTTGCACATGTATGTGCTCTTTAAAATTGAATTGGTAAATTTAATTCTGTTAGCGTTTAAAGGGATGATTTTTTTCGATAGACTTTTTCAAAAAGGCTAAGCATTCAGATTACACTAAAATAAATGCATGGCATAGCTTGCAATAACGTTATCAATAAATAATCATTGATTAGACATTTTGTCCCAAACTTGCTCCAGTCAAATAGTTAAAAATACAAACTATAAATTGAAAACATTGTAAAATGTTTACGTTTTAAAAGTATATAATGTTATATGTAGTATATAATAATAAGCATATCAATATATCATATGTCACTTAATTGAAACCCTTGTCATTATAAACCCTCTGTCAAACTCAGATCGTTTGTAATTAATCTTTAATTTTTTTTAAAGTTTTTTTACTACACTAAAGTAACTAATTAAAAAAACAAATGTTAATATATATATATATATATATATATATATATATATAAAAAGTAATCAACTAAAAATTAATTTAATCTAATGCTGTATTAAAACAATATAATTAAAATTTTTTCTATATTTTTTTAAAACGGTCTAAATTGAGAAGGATTCATACCTTATATAGTCGGAGTTTTTGTTATAAATAATTTTTTTTAGCGAGTAAATTAAAAAATAAGTTGCGCGCGCTCGCGTATATTCTTGAGCGAACGATTTCAGAACAGCAAAAAATTAATTACACACGCTCTTGTTTTTTTTTTTTGGTTACTTTTGGGTACTTTTAAGGTACAACAAGAAGTCCGACCCACAAAGCATAGTGGAATTGCATTTAAAGAGAAGGTGTTGTCCTACTCACCAATATTTTTTTTTATGTCTGTAATCAATGTCCACCAGAGCAGACGTCTAAATACGGGCTTTTCGATTACAAAGTCCTATAACCACAAAACCAAAATGTATTACTGTCCACTAACTTCTAACCATTTTGCCATTATTATAAAGTATTTTAATATTAGCATCATTATAACTAATTAAAGTATATATATATATATATATATATATATATATATATATATATATATATATATATATATATATATATATATATATATATATATATATATATATATATATATATATATATATATATATATACAATATTATAATATATTATAGAATTTGATTCAATATTATATTACGTTATGTTTCAATAAAATAAATACTATTGCCATGAATAATAACTTTTTCATCTGCTAAACATTTTGAACCTTTTTAAACCATGTATTTCAAACACAATGTTTTATGATGATTCATGAAAATATGACGTGTAAAAGAATCAGATTTTTATCGTATTTTTTTACACATATTTTTTTTATTTTGATTTTATTGCTTTTGAATCATTTTGTTTTAGTTAAACTTAATACTTGCAATAATCTTATATATATATATATATATATATATATATATATATATATATATATATATATATATATATATATATATATATATATATATATATATATATATATATATATATATATATATATATATATATATATATATATATATATATATATATATATATATATATATATATATATATATAATTTAAAACTGAATTGAACATCATGTACATTAAAATAAAATCATATTAAAAACTAAATAAATGCCGGCACAAAAACTTAAACAAATTGGTACTCTCTAGATCACAGTCTTTCCATAAAAATGCTAAGAACTGCCAAAACCATTGTGTATCTAAGCAACAATATTTTATAGATTTCATCATTGTTTAATCAAGTAATTCTGGAACATGAAGTAATTACATGAGTAAATTTTAAAAATAAATAACCCTCTGAGTTTTTATTTTTTAGCTTTCATTTTAAGTACACAGAACTGAAAGAAATATTTACTCAGTAATCAAAGGAGAGAAGAAAACTTTGAAAATAATGTGCTTCGTGGTTAAGCATATTTTTACTTTTTTTAAAAAAGGATTTTTTATTTATTATTTTGCTGTGTTTTTCAATTTCAAGGGGTTATTTATTTATTTTTTTTTCAAAAACTGTTCTTTTACTTTAAGTTTGTCTATCTGCTTTTTCAATGAAATATTTTAGTATTCCAGTATTCTAATTTATTCATTTCCATTTATTAAACTGCTCAAACAAAAATTACTATAAATAATTCAAGTCAAAAAATTAAAACTACAAAAAAAAATTCTTTGCACAAAGTTGTTTTTTTTAATACATTAATAAAAATAGAAAAATCATTGAATGTGAACATGGAGGAATATCGATCTCTATTTTGGCGAGAATAATAAGTCGCGCGTTTTAAAATTCATAAAATGTTTTTTTATCTTTTTTTTTTTCTTTTTCTTTAATAATATTTTTGCCTAAAATTAAAATATTAAATCATTTAAAAATGGATACCAAAAGCTATTCTCAAGGCTTTTAATCTCGAAACTGTTTGTTAACTTTTGGTAAGTTAAGCTTATTTTTTTCTCTACAAACATTTATTATAAAGACCTCCTATTTTAATTAAAAATCTTTTCTTATCTATAAATCTATGAAGTTTTTATAAAATCTTTCATAATCGTACCATTACGTAACGTTGCCAGAATATCTGAGTATCGCTCAAGGATCACAGTGTTTGCTTACTTTTTCAAATGATTTAGTATTTTTCTGGTACACACACACACATACACACACACTCATATATATATATATATATATATATATATATATATATATATATATATATATATATATATATATATATATATATATATATATATATATATATATATATATATATATATATGTATATGTGTATATATATATATATATATATATATATATATATATATATATATATATATATATATATATATATATATATATATATATATATATATATATATATATATATGCGTCTGCGTGTGCATATGCGTGTGTGTGTGTTTTATATTAGTATTCGCACTGTTGTAATTTTCAAGAAATGTTAGATCTTATTTTGAAATATATTTGTTTTCTGTGATATATACATTTATATATATATATATATATATATATATATATATATATATATATATATATATATATATATATATATATATATATATATATCATTTAATTATTTTGCCAAAAAATAGATGCTATAGATAAATAAGTAGTAAATTGATTTATCTTTTATCATCCTTTGTTTGTTTTTTTATTTATTATTGTTATTTCTTTATCTTTTTGTTTGTTTAAAGAACTACAAAAACTGACTCAGAGTCATCAGGTTGATGACTTAAAAAAGAAAGAAACAGAATGAGTTGATTAAAGATAAGTGAAACACTTCCGTTTTACAAAACATCTAGCAACTTTAAATTTTAAAATAATCAAATATTTTTTTAAAAAACACGCAGATATATATATACTTATAATATATAGATAAGTATGTATGTTTTTAAGTATATATATATATATATATATATATATATATATATATATATATATATATATATATATATATATATATATATATATACATATATATATATATATATATATATATATATATATATATATATATATATATATATATATATATATATATATATATATATATATATATATATATATATATATATATATGTATATATATATATATATATATATATATATATATATATATATATATATATATATATTTTTACTAACATAAATTAATAAATAGTACCCAAAAGGTCTACTATAATGTTTGATCAAGATGATGATGCAGATAAAATTAGTTTTAATGTTGGTGGTGTAAAATTTGAAACGTTCGCCACTACGCTACTTAATATTGCTGATACTCGATTATCTTGGTTGGCGGAAAATCATCTCCAGGATGGAAAAACAAATCGAAAAGAATACTTTTTTGACCGACATCCTGGTATTCTTTTTTCCATGTATAATTTTTATGAGCTTTGTTTATCCCAAAAGTATGTATTTTATGAAATAAGAATTGCAGATTTATTTAGTGCATCTTTTTATTTTGAAAACTATATAAATAAAAAGGTTTTAATGGAAAAAAATTATTTTAGATAACAAATGAAAAGAAAAATTAAATACTATAACTAATTACTTCTAATCAATAATAATTTTTTAAAAATATATTTCATATAATTATGCTATTATTATAATACTAAATCAGGAGTGTTTGTTCACATCTTAAATTTTTACCGGACGGGAAAGCTTCATACACCTACGGATGTTTGTGGGCCACTTTTTAGTGAAGAATTGCAGTTTTGGGGAATTGACGAGAAGCAAATGGAGCCTTGTTGTTGGGGCAGATTTACCAAACATAGAGAGGCCGAGGTATATATATATATATTTTTTTTGTTACTAAGCGTATTTTATTTAAATTATCTGTTGTCATGTTCTTAGTTTTTTCAAAGCATATATATATATATATATATATATATATATATATATATATATATATATATATATATATATATATATATATATATATATATATATATATATATATATATATATATATATACATATATATATATATATATATATATATATATATATATATATATATATATACATATATATATATATACATATATATATATATATATATATATATATATATATATATATATATATATATATATATATATATATATATATATATATATATATATATATATATATATACATATATATATAAATATAAAACTTACATGTATATGTGTGTGTATATATATAAAACTTTCGCTTTTTACACTAAATCTTTTTTGTCTGCTGGATTTTTTTTATTGTACTTAAAAATAATAAAGATTTCTTTTATTTCGTATTCTAATAAATAAAACATAAATTATAAGATATTTTGCTATTATACCTTTGATTGGGGATGGGCGGAGACGCATAAGATATATTTTTCAAACGTATAGGTGGAGTCTATAAAGATATATATTTTAAATAGATTCTTCAAAACTAGAATGTTTTTACGTTTTAGTTTTTTACTTAATTTTCTGTATAGGAAGTTCTCAGTACATTTGAGGGACCTTGTTTTGAAGATCTAAGCAGAGAGCGTAAAACTTCTTTTTTATCATTAAAGACAGGATATTTAAATAAGAAACTTTCTTGCATTTGGAAAATAATGGATGATCCATTCTCATCAGAACTTGCTAAGGTATAAAATTTAGTTCCCAATTTCTGACTTTTTTTTCATCTAATAAAACTGTTATCACTCATAGTTATATATCGTTATAATATTCAATTTAGACTTCCCGTAAAAAAAATAAATGAAAGCAAAAATAAAAAGTGGAGAGATAATTTAAAGAAAAATTAGTCATTAAAGCTGTTTTTTTTAAAAAAAAGCATAAAAAAGTTTTTTTTTAAATTTGTATCATACTTTCCTAATTAATGTAATGGCTTTATTTAACTACAGGTGCGGATTTATGATTTTTTGGTGCTTGAGTTAAACAACTTTCAGGTAAGTTCTAAACTACAAACTTTTTTATGCTCATACTTATTTCATTTAAGAATGCTTTGCCAAAAATTGCGTTGATTAAAGCCTGGGAACAAAAATACCCTAAATAGTAGGCATCGCGCCCAAATAAGAGGGCAAATAATTTTTCGAAAAACAAAAGTTTCTTCCTTTAATAAAATTTAAATGTGTATCTATATTTAAATTTTGATAAAAAATCATCTAGCGTTCAAAAGTTATAGCCATTTAAAGTTTAGAGCCCTCTCAAAACGAGGGGGTCGTAAATTTAAACTGGATATAATTTCTAAGAACCTAACGATATTACCATCTAATTTAGGATATTAGAAATTATATTTAGAAAAACCGATTACCCCCACATTTGGGCGGATGATGTCTACTTTTTAGGGTTTTTTTGTTCCCAGGCTCTAAACAACGCAATTTTTGGCAAATCATTCTTAAATGATTAAAATATGAAAATACAAAAATTTGGAGTTTAGAACTTTCCTGGAAGTTATATAACTCAAATACCAAAAAGTTCTGGATCCACCCCTGAACTACTTATATAACTAACACTTAACTACTTATATAGCTATCATTTAGTTGACGATATCAAGTTGCTTCAATGTTTCAGAAATAATTGCATCATCGCAATATTATATATATATATATATATATATATATATATATATATATATATATATATATATATATATATATATATATATATATATATATATATATATATTTATATATATATATATATATATATATATATATATATATATATATATATATATATATATATATATATATATATATATATATATATATATATATATATATATATATATATATATATAAGTAATTTTATAATTAATGGGTAAAATTTTATGTCTTGGTTAGGCAGTTTTTATTGACAATTTTATGGTAAAATATTGTGAAGCAGATTACAAAAATTTCTTTGAACAACACTTTTTTTTGGTAATTTTTTGAGTTTATTTATTGTAACTTTAAGTTGCAACTATGATAATTTGTTTTCAAAATTTTTTAAAAGTTTTGAAAATGTTTTATCTTGTTATTTGCTTAGCATATTGACGTTTATTGTTGAAGCAAGGTTTGTTTAAGGCTAAACATAATTTGCACTCCCATCCCTAAAGGTAAAGGGACATTTTTCAATGTCTATTAAATTGGCCTACAAGTTATTGAAAACTGTTAAATTATATATAAAAAGACTTGATTGAATATTTACAGTATTTTACAAAAGATTTTTTAATTTAAAGGCATTAATTAATGAAAGGCAAAAAGTAAAGAAACTTTTTTGCTAAATTTGAACTATTTAAAAATATAGTTAGCAGTAAAAAAAAAAGAACTCATACTTAAAGTCATGAATTCCGCCTCTATGTTTAAATACTTTTAAAACCAAAGTCTTAAAAGTATTTAAACTAGGTTCACAACCTTGCTAGGGCACTTTTGATTTTATAAATCTATAAATTAAAAAAGTATGCTATACTTAAAAATGGTTTAAATGTATACCGTATTTTTCAACCAATACTGCTAAGCGGGCATTTTATATGGGCAAGTAATATACGTAACATAGGTTTCTCAATTATGTAATATAGGTTTCTAAATTACTACGTAATATAGGTTTCTTTTTCTTAAATTGATAAACTTGATTATAAAAATTCGACTGAAAGATGTACATTTTTGGCTTGTGGGTCTTTATTATTTTATATATTTTGTTGAAATGTTTAAAGAATACTTAAATACTACGATGATAAAACGCATAATTTTAAAACAATCGATAAACTTTGCTTTCGCAATGGAGTACTGCTACATCATTTTTCCAAAAATAACATTAGAAAACACATTTGAACTGTAAGTTCAGTAAATTGATAATAAACTAATTTGCTTGGTTTGATACATATGAAACACACACACAAAATGCCCGTTTAGCAGTATTGGTTGAAAAATACGGTATACATTTAAACCATTTTTAAATATAGCATACTTTTTTAATTAATAGATTTATAAAATCAAAAGTGCCCTAGTAAGGTTGTGAACCTTTAGTAGTTTAAATACTTTTAAGACTTTGGTCTTAAATGTATTTAAACATAGAGGCGGAATTTATGACTTTGAGTATGAGTTCTTTTTTTTTACTGCTAACTATATTTTTAAATATATATATATATATATATATATATATATATATATATATATATATATATATATATATATATATATATATATATATATATATATATATATATATATATATATATATATATATATATATATATATATATATATATATATTTAGTAGCGGATACAGCATTTTTTGATGTTTGCTAACTTCCAGAAATGAAACAAAATCTAAGCATTTATATCTTTATGCTTATGTCAAATAAAAAAGCTTTACAAAAAAGTGCGATTTGAGCCTGGGAACAATGAAGCCCTAAATTTTTGACCACAACTGCCCCAAACGTGAAAGCAACAAATTGATAAAAGTTTTTTTTTAATAATTTCAAATAAATTTATATTCATTGATAGATTCAAAATTTCATGCAATAATCTTTTAGCGTTTAAAAGTTATGACTATATCAAGTTTGAACACCTCTCGACAGAAAATTACAAATTTTATTAAGTCGTAATTTTTTAACGTTAAGAGATTATTTTAAGAAATTTAGAATTCATTGATAAATATAAATTTGTTTAAGAATAGTACAAAAATATTTTATAAGCTTGTTGCTCTCATGTTTAGGACAGATGTGGCCAATATTTTGGGGCTTTTTGTTTACAGACTCCAATCATCGGAAATTTTTGTAAAGTCATCTATCTCAAACATCAACAAATGCTGGATCCGCCCCTGATATTAATGCAATGTATGGCTATAATCATCAAATTATAATGGCCGCATTTACTCTTTTATGAAAAAATGAAATATATTTTTAAAAGTTGACTCAAAATTACAATTTTAGCTGTTAAGATTATTGTAATTGTAAGGCTAGTGTTTTTGTCAAGTAACACAACGTTTATAAAGTTGTTGTGCATTGTATCAATCAAAAAATAAACTTGTAATAACATCTACAGGTAAAAGAATCTTAAAATGGACTGGGTCCAAAAAATTCCAGGTTTAAAATTAGTTATTATAAAACTTTTTTTTGTTAACGGTGCGTTACTGGTGCGTCAAAAATAAAATGTCGCTGAACATAACCAAATTCGAAATCATGAACAATTCAAAAACAAATTCAATATGCACCCACCACTAATTGTTACTATTTACTTGAAAGCACCTGAATATATATCCTCATATAAATATCTTAGATTAGACTCAATATCTTTTTAAAATCTAAAATTGTAGGCTCATTGAAAAGTACTTAGTAATTTTACAATAAAACTCTGTAATAAACATTGAATTAAGCCACGTCAAAATTAAGCTTCAAATACAGCAAGTTAGTTAAGGCATTTTAAATCTATTGGCATCAGTATAGATATTTTCCTTTGAAAAAATAAAATCTTGAACATACAAAATAAACATTGAAAATATCTGTGTATATTGTATAATTAATTGTTTTGGTAGCATCGAATACAAACTCAATGCTACCCAACAATCCGCTATATATGAAGACTAAAAAGGTTTTAAAAGATTATGGTAACATGGGAATTGTAAAAGCTCAGTTGCAGCACAAACATTCTTACCACACGAACACTCTTTCTAAAGTTTAAAAAAGCTCTATTCTATTGTTTCTTGGGTTTCATTTTTTTTTCTTTGCGGATTTATTAACCTTCATCACTAAAACTTTTTCTAATATTTTCTTCCCCTCTATTGAGCGTGAATCTGGGTAACTCTATTGTTCACCTTGTTTAATTTTGGTATTACTTTGGCTGCACATAACAAATTAGGTATTTGTATTTTTGATAAGGTTTTATCAAATACTTTTTTGATAAGCTTTCTTGGTGTTTACTTGTTTATGCTTCCAATAAGTTACTGAGCTATAACAAACACGTTTTGGAAATTATTTCTGCTGTTGATAATTTTTGATATTTAACTACTACACAAGCTTGCAAAAACATATCTGCCTTCATCCACTCAACATTGAGTTTTTCACTAAAAATGCCAACATTTTTATTTGTTTTTATGATTTCATAACTCAGTATGTATATTCATGAAACTTTTTGTGCTGATTTTTATAAACGGAGAGAAAAGTGGAGATTAGGCACTTCTGTGCTCAGAATGAAATTTATTATTAACTTGATCAACAAAAGTTGTGTCATGTGGGGCAAAGAAGATTTTTACCTTTTATAAATGATAACTTTGTGAATCTTGGAGAATGACAGTCAGATAAAGTAGACAGCTTTCCTCTCACCCAGCATATACTGGTCTATTTAGAGTATCATTAACTTTGTATATACTCAAAGGGGAGTTTTATCATGATTGTAAACTATTATTATTATTTATTTATTATTATTATTATAGCTACTTTTTTTTTCGTTAGGGCATGATTTGAAGCTAAAGTTATAAATTTGTTAAATTGTTAAGGGCTTCTTGTTAACTTCTGCTCTGTCTTTATTGTAATGTGCTTTTAGTATTTTAAATCCCAACGCTTCCAAAAGAAGTTTCTAGACTTCCTTCTTTGAAGAGCTTGTTATGTATTTGGTGATAGTTTTGTAAAATAACGTCTACGAAGGTTTCTGAAGGCTTGCTT